GGCCATTCAGGGCGTGAGCGAAGTGTGGGGTCTGAGGGGCATGTATAATTATTAAGACACCTTTTGTCTGAAACCAGCTGCCACCATCGTTGTTCGCGTTTAGAAAACTACACATCAAAGAAACAGGCCCACTTTATTGATGGTATGGACGTTTCAATACGCTGAGCGAACTGCATGTTGCTTTCGGTTAGTTTATTAATTTTCCCTGCCAATCTGGGCTAGTAGACCAACATGTTTGTTGGTGAAATAAAGTGGACACTCTTAATGTATGAATAAAAGTATATGGATAAATGATGAAGAACAGCACAGTACAAAAGTAGATCTCCCAACGCGAGAACGATTCTGTATCAGCAGCGATTTGACGACGACTGACTAAAAAGGTTGCTCTCGCGATTAACAAAAATTATGCTGCCTAAGCAATATGGCTTTGTGGTACACTGTGGTCCATAATATATATGGCTGAACTTATATAGATAATATTAAAAGCACTTTGATTATAGTCTTATTCTAACATTCCCTCTTAATCTGTATACTATTTAATATAAATCAATTTAATCAAACATTAAACACAATTTTCTGCAAAGGTTTAATTCTTTTATGGTGTTTATAGCCTTTTGCCACAAGCATTGGCAATTATATGGATTGGTGTGAAATTTCTAATCAGCTTCTACTCCAACCGAGCCAAAAACCTCTAATCGATTTTCTCAGCGACCCGAATGGGCGTTTTCTCAGTGTACATTGGATAAATCCTTTGACATTGTAATTTCGTTATTGCATTAGCCACGAAAAACTGGAGCCAGTTTTCTTAATTTTAACCAGAACTCTCTCTTTATCGACTCATGATGAAGCCATATTCATAACGGCGCTTTTTGCAAGGGCTTTTTTGGGGCCGACCCAATCAACAATGTCTTTTATTCAAAAGACCAGGCCGCTTCTAGTCAATAATCTGATAATGATTGCACGGACGTGTCGATGTTGCTTTTTCACCGGTTTCCGCTGGAATGATCTTCCAAATTGCTAGTCAAAAGTTTTTGTTAACCTTGTTCTATCAATAGAGATAATTTGATGATCTATATCTTCACACAGCTCACGTAACGACCTTACCGAGGCACAGTTTTTCCACTGATGGAGCGAGAACAAACGCAAGCAATATTTGCTCTTTTTATTCGGCAAACTGTCGCAATGCGCCTGCATTTCTTCATCTAGCTGTGGCACTTTTCCATTATTTTTTTCTTTTTCTGTTGCGTTTTTGCTTAGTAAAATGATGAGAACAAAAACCCTCGCAAATGCAAATTGGTCGGACAAGCAAGTTGGAGTCAACTCTTTTCCCACTTCTACCAGCTACTTGCTATCAAGAAACATCCATTTGCCAAACTCATATGGAGCTTTTTACGAAATTTTCATTACCAAACCGACCATTCCTTGAAACTGATAAGTTTTTCGGCTGTTTGATGCCAGTTTCCGTTTCGCTTCGCAAACATAATGTTAAAGTTAGATATACGAGGCGTCGTGTGATGTCAGATTGAAAAAGGGCCCTCACACAATGGCCCGCAATTAATGTCTTTTTAGGCCGCCATGTTGCCCCTAAAAACATCAAAAGATTTAATAAGTTAATTAAAAACGCTTCAGCGATTTGCCTTATGGAGCCCCCATTCGACACACCTAATCTTATGCTTAGTGTAAACGGTAACACGCAGTGGCGCATCTGGACTAGACAAAACCCCTTTATAACGGACAGGGTGAAAAAGTGAGCCTTTGCCGATGATACGCATGTTGCTTCAGATGGAGCCTAATGAGTTTGAAGTCGGTCTCACTCGATTTTTTCTTCAAACACCTTAAACTCTGTTGGGTTAACTTATGGTGTCGCTCCGCCACTGGAGTGTCGTCTGATATTCGACCATGGCGGATTTTCGTTCCCGAACTAGATTGCCAACTGGTCGAAGGTAAGAGGATAACGTGACAACTAAACCTAATGGGATTAGGGTTATTGATTGCTATAAACCTTCTAGGGAAATTCGCCTTTAGATTGCATTGTACCCAGGTGTTTACGGATCGATCCTTGTGAACTAGAAAAGCCTTCATTGAAGAAATCAGACAAAAATTTAGGTCCTTCCTGATCACTGAAGCTATTATTCAATCAGCGAATCAAAATCGTTAACATTTCCGTCAGTTTAATCATGTAATTATTATGGAATGGAAGCAGCTAAGCGAATGAAAAAATGTGCAACTCTTTACGCAATTTATATGGAAATTGATTATTTATACTCTAATTATTGATTAATATCTTAATGATACACCGAGCGTCATCAAAGTAAACATCGAAAGGTAGACCTCACGCATCAACCAGTATAATTAATCTTAAATTGCTGATTTCAAACAGCATAAATTGCCTATTTACTGGTAATTTAAGTAATTTTGTAAGTTTAGCCATAATTTTTAATGCTTCGCTTACTGGCTCGTATAGACAGTCAACGGAGACGGCGAATTCAGTTTTTTCCCGCTTGATCCGCGTGTTTGAATGCAACAAAGATTTTTTATTAAGTACCTATAAGTTTTTTTATCAAAATTTGTACATAAAACTGGAAATATTTGACGTTTAAAATAGTTAGGTAACTCAAACAAGTAGATGAGTGCGCTCTGAATGTAAAAATTTCGAATTTCACTCTTCGTTAAGAAAAAAAAACGAAAAATATTCAACAATAAAGAAGAGTGTGCTCCAAATAAAGTCAACATTTTTTCAAACGTTCAAAAATTCATTGAAATCACATGGATCCTGAAGTTTGGCCGCTTTGTAAATGCTGACTTGAAAGTGAATGCTTTTTCACATCTGCAGACTCTTCAATGAAAAATGCCAACTTCCAAAGTAAAGTCAGTAGCAACTTGAAAGATTCTTGATTGAAAGAGGATTGAAAGATTTATTGAAAGGCGAAAAACGAAAAAAATTGAAAGAAGAAAATGTGTTTAGCACAGCAGAAAATCCAAAGTGCCCAAAGCCAAACTTATTTGAAATCAACAAAGCAAAGAGAGAGAAATATAAAGAATCCATAAAACTTCGGTGCTTGTCGGAAAACCGAACTCAGTCCAAGCTAAAAGATTTAAAGTTAGAGATCATTCTCACCAGCTTTTTGCAAGCTGGCGCGCCATCCTCCATTTTCCTCGCATAAATACCCACGAAACAAGTTCACTACAGTTTCATAAACCACCGCACTTCCCATCAGGGCCACAATTATTCCATATTTTCGATCTAAGAATGCGATTATCGACTTATTTCGTCCACTATCGATAGCAAAATGGACATTCATACACCATTTCGAGAAAAAAAAAGTTTCGATGATTCAAGCTTTACTTCGCAGATCGATTTCACATTATTTATTGTTGGCATTTTTGTGGAAAGCGCTGATTGCATTATCTACAATATTTCCAAAGGCAAATTTCACGTTCCAACCTAACGAAAGTCAACAACAATTAAACAAAAACAGCTTCAAGTGCCGATCTTTCACTAATTTAATTTTAAATCTGGAGCCGTTTATATCTGTCTCAATTTTACTCAGCTGCAGTGATTAATGCACAACGCCAACATTAAAATCAATAACCGACTTAATTTGGTTTTTCTATAAATATTGACTGAACAAAAAACCTCGAAGAAATCACCTAAAACTGAAACTATTGCTCAACTTTTGAGCGATGATAGAAACCAACGAAGATTCAACTTATTAAAAATGCCCTTAGTTTTTTTTAGTTTTTTTAGATTTATTTCGCCACAAACCCAATTCGAGGTGCGTCGCAGGGAGGAGCGATGAGTTATAACTCACCAACTGCCAGAGCGGCTTCACTGCAAAAGGGCAACTCAACACAGTGTTACCCAGGCCTAGTACTCACCAACTCAGCACGAAATAACTCTAGATAATTTATAATCGATATTATTGTTTATGTTTATTATCGTTTGTTGTTTATTGTTGTCTGTTTATTGTTCTTTATTTTGATTCCATTAATTAGTATCATTGCTTTATATTGGTTTTGTAACCATAACTTTTTAATTATGAAGTTATTTTTATTAAAAACACAGACGAGCCAGCGATTTTGCTTACAATTACACGAACAGGACTTTTGAGTGTGAGTTTGGAGATTCTTGGGAGAAAAAACGAGTTCAGGCCTATCGTGTTTTTTGAGCGTTAAAAAATGTATTTTATCTATGTATAAATCGGGCTAAATCTTGGCTTTTTTGTCAATAGCAGCGGATTGTTGACTTAGAGCACAAAAAACATCCTTTACCTGCCGGTATAACAGATGTTGGTAGCAAGCTCATAAAGTAAAAATTTAAATCAGCTCACTCCCACATTTTTCTCTTAGATTAGCTTTCAAATATCTGCTATAAGTAATAGAAAAATACCTGCTGTGAGTTATATTGTTGATATTTACGACTTTCCATTGATGTTCGGGGGGTTTTGCCTAACTTGCAGGCCATCAGAGGAAACACTTCGGAAACAAAAATACCCAACAAAAGAATATTTAGAATGTGCGGTTTATTAAAGCAGTCAAAGGCTGCGGGGATCATAAAAGTGGAACCTCCATTTCCAATAATAAACACGTTTATTCGGCGAATAAATTAATTTGGCAAAGTCTTGATGCGAAATCGCAATCCGCTAAATTAATTCGCGCCCCCCATAAACCACTGAAAATTTACACCAGCAATAAAGAAGTTAAAGTGTAAAAAGTCATAAAGCAAAATAATTTACATTAAACACATGCTAAATAACCTACTAAAACAAAATCTCATTTATCTCCCCCGAAACAAATTATATAAACGGCACTGTACAAATTGGACAGATGATTGGTGGGTCGAGACGGAAAATAAAATGGTTTTAAGCTCCGCCCCTGACCAATGCGGTGGGGCGATGTTATTTTTCCAAAGGACGGCAAGTTTCCGGTTTATACTCCATTGGCATGGAGGGAACGGATGGGCGGAGCCTACTAAACAGGCCCAGTGGAGTAGATTGGCAGAGGCCTTCACTCGTTACCAGATCTGTTAAAGATATCAAGCGGCGTCACGTGTGTCTACAGATTTTTCAGTTTTTGACGTGAACGAGCGCTAATCACCACTGAGCAGTGAGTGTGATGTAATTGCAGAGTCCGAATATTCCGAACATTTTCGCATTGGTTGGTGTCCAGTGGGTTCAAAGTGGGAGTCGTGCCAGGAGCATGTCCGTGTGGTGATGACAAAAATCGGGTTTTTAAGTGGAAAATGCAAGATATAGACTGCACGTCGCCAAACAGTTTGAGCAGCGACATGGCGCCCTACTTAGGAGCCAAATATCAAAGTCCCATCGCGTCCCGATCGCCCAGTCCCACGCTAATGGACACCTCCATGCTGGACGACTCAAAGTACGCGTCCGAGGACGAAATCAGCGTCGGCTGTCCCAGTCCGACCATTCGCAAACGGCCGCGAGATCCCAGCCCACCTTATCACCAAATCCAGCCAAATTGTCGCTGTGCCGACTCAGAAAGCGACGACTACTTCAAGCCGCTGAAAAACCTCAAAATGGTCCAATCCGATCGGCGTCTATCGCCCACAGTGGAAGTCGAGGACCGACAGGACGGCGTGAAGAGTTTCTCAATCGTGGACATTCTGAACCACAAACCGAGCAAACCTCAGTGCACGCGAATAGTCCGTCCATGGGACATAGATCCGGCCGAAGTGGAGGCCCACCATCAGAGACTGGAGTCGATCCATCGGCATTTAAAAGTGCAACAGCAACTGGCCCTGTTGCGGCCCGATCTAGTGGCTTTTAACGCGAGTTACACCTCAGAAACTGGAAGTGATCGATCTTCGAGTGTCGCCAGCGACTGTTGTTCACCGGACATTGTTTCCTCTTCAGTTCAGCGACAGCGGCATCAGCAACAGCAGGGCAAGCAACCTGGGGGCCCAGGAGCCACGCCTTTAGATGCTCTGTTCCAGATGACTTCCAAAACTTTCGACTCTTCTGCTGGCGAATCCAGCGCAGGTTAGTTACTATTTTCGTTACTTGATTTCTGATCAAATGTCCCAGAAAGGTGGCCATAATGATGCCAGGGTGACCCGAAATTAGGTGGCGTGAGTTTAACTAGCTGGTCTACGACGAAAAATAAGCCTGCGGACTCTTCCGGCACCAGCTAGACCCATGTATTTTCACTTTCATGGTCATTTACTCTGCAATGCTTTTCGGCCAGGTTTTTTTTGTTTTCACTCTTCTGCTTCTTCGTGCAAAAGGACAGAGTCCCGTCCAATTCTGTCATCAGCCTTCCCTTTGTATTGCATGTTGCAAAGAAATTGCATTTATATCAGGTCCAATTGGGTCCAGTTTTGTTTCTGTAATATTGTTTTTATTCGAATGAATCAAAAAGTGCCATTTTGCGAACAAAGTAAATGTGACACTTTGAACTTGCCACTGTCATTATATATTTTTTAGTATTTTTATTTAAAAATAACCGAAATGCTTTTTTAAGGAATTA